TTTTAACAACATGGTGCAAGCAAAAAGCATCAACATGACACCTGATATAATTGGAGGATCGCACCTGGACAATTCCAAAATGAAGAAACTCATCATATTCCAAAAGTAACTCTATAGCTCAATGAAACCTCAACTTTACAGTGACATGAGCAAAGAAATATCACTAATGTCCCATCCTAGAGGTAGAGATTAGAACTTCACAAGTAGAAAACAAACCATAGAATGACAAGAATTGGATAGACAATGGTAGCAGTTGTAATCATCATGTGTAAAGCGACTGCAACCTGCAACATTACAGTGGTATTAGAACAAGAAAATATTACACAAGGTTTTCAATAATTATGTACTTTTAAGCATCAACAGGTCACCTCCTCACTACATATGAACAATGCATAAGAATTCCATAAGGAAAAAGATCTAACTTACTGGGTCACTTATGTGCTTCTTCTGGGCAAGCTTCTCAACAAGAAAAGCAGCGATTGGAAAAATTGGCAGAGTGAGGCTGCAACTCGAACATAAGCCATAGAGATCAGAAAAGCATGCTAGAAACACAGTAAGAACTCCAAGCAGAAGGTTTTAGATAAATTACCAGCACATTAGAACTGGCCAATCCATTAAGGATTTCGAACTAAACCAAAAGCCCATCCTAATTAACAGCCCATACTGCAATAGTAGTTATAAGTTTGTCATCAGCCAGTCAAGTATGTAAAGTTTCTCAAAGATTATATCTAATATTGCTGTGATAAAACTGAAGTAGTTAATTTATATGTGAAATGGAAAAATTAAGTTTCATGAGGATGTTGTATTTGGAATTACATTTATGATGTTTACATATACAAATCAAAAAAGAAAGATCATAAAAAGAAACAAACCTTCATCAGATTTTCAATAATCAGCCTGCTGTTTACAGCAACAAGCACAACTATACAGAGATTGAATAGACCTGCATGGCTCTGTTATAAGTTGCAAACAGTTGTTAAAATTACAAATGTACTTGGAGCAATGTAAAATGCAATTCCATAACGCACAAATAAAGACCTATTAGTTTAGATTATTCTATTGAAAAGCATTTTGGGGATGATTTTGTACACAAGCAACCAAAATATCAGAGATAGTGACTTCTATCAATTCCAATTGACCACATATGTTTACACCCAAAGTTAACATGCCCTCCTTCACAATACAATGGGTTTGCAGAAGTCTATCTTGTACTGTTCCTGAGAACATTTCTGTTTACAGGGAGACTATCATTCACACAGGATTAAACTCAACTTGGCCACTGACTCCTTGGCTCATGTCAGACTCGTAAGATCATCCTGTCATAAAGTGCCTTCATTTTTTTTAACCAGTATCTTAAGTGGCTTGGGAATAGGTGAAATTCATGGAATTTGAGTCAAAAGAATCATTAACAAGTGAGCAAACACTACATGGAGTTGAGTCAAAAGAAGTCAGACAATAGTGCAGAATCTCAATCTTTGACTTTATGCTTGAGTTTGTCCTTCTGGCCCTTTTAACTTACATTCAATTGGTTTTAGTTACTCAGGGTCACTTAATGGACAAATCACGTAATACAAAGTGGTGTGTTGTACGTGCCCAGAAAGACAACAAATTTATGATGTTGCACTAAAGATCGCATAATTTAAAGTACGTTAACTTTTTTTAAGGACATTTATGGTAAATGAGTAAATCAAGATCACAAATATCATGTGCTTTTTCCTCAACCAGTAATAATAATTTTTTTCATTCTTATGAATTACATGCGGGTATTACATAGCAAGATAGTGCATTCTAGTCTGTCCAAGTAAGAAATTAAGCAACCCTAGCATGCAACACCATCAAGTCCCTACAATTCTTTCCAAAAAGAAAATTTCTCACCCAACTTGACCATGCACTAAAACATCACTTGAGCCACTACACTTGCTTAATTACATTGCAGTTTCAATCTCAGAGGACCTAAGCTTCACATGTTTGCCCTTTTTCTCTCTGGAACCCTGGTAAGAAATTTAACTTATGCATACAGACACTTAACTAAAGAAAGAAACGGCAAGCTAAAATAACCACCAAAAACTTCGCAAAACCTCCCACTGAAAGCTGACTGGCTAAGACCACTAACTCAAAGAAAGAAAAGGTAAGCTAAAATAACCACCAAAAACTTCACAAAATCTCCTACTGAAAGCTAACTGGAAAGCTAAGACAACTAACTGAAAGAAAGAAAAAGGCAAGCTAAAATAACCACCAAAGACTTCACAAAATCTCCTATTGAAAGTTGACAGGCTAAGACCACTAACTTAAACTACAGGGAATAATTCATTAAAGCTCAAGCTCCAATCTTTATTTCTTTTTCCCTATGTGGTAAAAGCCAGGAATTTTAAGGTCCAACTACAGTAAAAGAGTCCAAATTGAAGAAATATTTTGCAGAACGAATACATAAGTAAAAGAGTTCAAATTGAAGAAATATTTTGTAGAACCAATACACAATAGAACTCATGGTATTTGCACACATGTTCAGGAAAGGGGAAAAAAAAAAATTATAGAGGTCCATATAGCTAGTTGAAGAATGTATACCTGTCTGAAAATGGCGTCGGAGCTTAGAGGACTCTCCTTAATTCGGCGGTGAGCAGGTGATGACGCCCTATACGAAAACTTAAACGACGTTCCATCATCTGCTTCTCTGCTCCCACCGCCATTACCACCATTTTGATCATTCCCATCTCCCTTCCCGTTCCTGTCACTGAATTCGTTCCCCGATTCACCCACCGACTCCATTCCTCCACCGACGCTTCTGATCTCACTCTTATCCTCCTCAGCATTGAGTCCACCCTCCGCCGACTTCGAGTCGGCGTCCACTACAACCGCATCCTCCGCCGCCTCCAACCCCCGTCTCCTCCGCAGCTTCTGAATTAAATCAGAGTTCCTGACATTGCTACTCTCACTACCACTATCCCCAACCGCACCGCCACTTCCCTGCCCTGCTCCGGCACTCTCCAGCGGGGACTCATTGATCGCCATCGCCACCTCAATACAGAGTTTAAAAAAAAGCACCAGCACCACTTGCTAAAGTCCTGAACAAAACAGAAACCCCACAGACAGTGAGAGAATTCCCGAGAAACAGAAACAGAAACTCAAATTACTTCCATGCAACAAAGAAATAGAGAAAAATAGAAGAAGAGACCTGAATTCGAAAGCTGAATTCCTGAATTTCTCTCAATTTTCGTTTCTCCACTTCTGGAAAAGGAAAGATACGCCGCGAATATTATATATATACACACACAGAGAAGAGAAGAGAAGAGATTACGCTACGTAGTGACGGCAAGCGCGGTGGAGGTAGGAATTTGGAAGTTTGAAGATGGAAGGAATTTGGAAGTTTGTGACAGGCAGGTAGGTGCACTGTAAACCAAGTCACATAGACATCTCATACTTCTAGGACTAGGCCAAGTATTTTGCCGCTTCTTAATATGTAGTAATATACTAAATTACTAATATTAGTAAGTTCAGGTTTCCGTGCGAATAGTGTTATTTGGGCCACCGTATAGATAGTATAATTACAATTAAATATAGTGCAATGCAGTATATTTTTTGGTTTGTGGTGTATTGTGTATTTTATTGAGGTGCGTTTGTAGTGTATTGTGTATTTTATTGAGGTGCATTTTACATATCTAATGGTAAATTTACACGGAAAGTACGGTCCGCATTTGAACTAGTATCAATATTAGTAATATATATTTAATGGAAAATGTTAAACGACTTTATGATGTTACAAAATTCTAGGTATTAGAATCTGAAATGTGTGGTTGAGTAGAAGAGACTTATTCATCCTTAAGTAAAGGTTAAGGGTTTGATTCTTGGCTTTGAGAATTGAGCACAAAAAATTTCTAGGTATTAGGCTATTAGGTTCACATTTTTTTTAATAAATTCTACCTTGTGATCTTAGCCTACAAAAGAGCACAAGAACGTAAATATGTGACCAGTATAGATTATTCATAGAGAATGTCAATTGGAAGCTCACGTTGGGATTCGAACTTGTAAGTTTGTGGTTACCAAGTCAACAACCTAACGAACATGGTTGGAGTTATTCTCTAATGTCTATGATTTTGTCACATCATAAAGTGTTAGTTGTGAGTGATAAAATTAGAGGTGTATAGTATGATCCATAGTTAAATTAAGTCAAATTTGAAATCGGGGATGGAAATGAGGTGGGTCTTTTCATCCTCACCAAATGTTCCAAGACTGAGCTTGGTTTAGGTATAGTTAAACAAGTTTGAGAAAAACTCCAACTTCAATTATAAATTGTCAAAAATACCATAATGAACAGACACGATTTATCCACACTTAATGAGTCGCAACCTTTGCCGCCGTATTCAACTCGACTCACAAGATTGAACTAATATCTTATTATTTTACTACTATGCTACTACCATGAGAGTTCATAACTTTCTATTTCATGCAATGATGAATTGTTATTATCTTATTGTGAATAACTTGAAAATACTTGTTATTAATGCAACGTCATCTTTCAATATAAAAGCTTTACAATTAATAAGAAAACGGACAATTAGCATCGATATACGATAATCATTTAAGACAAATAGCTTTTTAATGCTCCACCAAATTACTTAAGTTGGGTGGCAATTATTAATTATTATTTTAAATTTTTAATGCTCACTCCTCTAATAAGAGCATCTACTTGTTAGTGTTCTATTAGTTAAAATTCTTGTTTTAATAGGTTAATATTTTATTAATAATATTTTATTATTTTATAAATATTGTGGTATGTTATAAATTGATAATTACTATTTGGCTGGATTATTTTTGTATTCTGTTAAAAAGTTACCAGATTAGTACATATAACATCACGACAATAGGGACGGGGGATTAGTCTTTAACTATCGGCGAAAGATACCTTTGGACAACAACAAAAAAAAAAAAAAAAAAAAAAAAACATCACGTATGTTATGTCGCATACCAGCCTTCTGGTTAAGGTTGTTGTGAAAGCGATGTGAGAATGTACTTTCATTCGTACGCGACGCAAAAGAAAGTTCCCAAATAAAGCATCAAAGGATTTAGGCTACAACTTTTGTTTTCAAAAAAAAAAAAAAAAAAAAACTATAACAAATCCCAGATCCTTAAGGAATTGACTGGAAAGACTCTACACGCTTTCTTTCCGACCAGATTAACGATCAAATTTGGGTCACAATCCGGTGCCGGAGGGAAGGGATCCCACCAGGCTTGGTTGTGGGCAAAGCCAAACATATTTTAACAGACCCCATGACAGTGTCAAAACCATGATCTGGACGCCACATAAGCAGTGCCATGTCAGCAGAAACGGGGATTTTACGGACAATGAAAGGACGAACCTCCAACTACGTCCACGAGGAATCTGGCTTCTCATTGATCCATCGACAAGCCCTTGCACCGGAATGTGCATAAATGGCTTCCATACTGTGAAATGACGTCTACTAATGCTCCGTATCCAGCCACAGCTGTAACCTGAAAGTGATGAAGAAAGGGTTCGTGTGATTAAGCGAGTAACAATTAGTGGAGGAGCTTCTTATGCTTCTCAAGAATGATTGATTATATGACGAGGCCTAAGGGGTGAGCATCATAATGTCAAGAAATTATTATGAAGGTACTAAAAATTTACCCCAGAAGGATGTAATGAAATAGAAAATGCGGACTCAGGAGCACAATGAATCTGCGAAATAATCTCCCCACTCATATTGAACCGGCTGAGTATAGGTTCTGATCCTACCGCCAAAATCTGAGAAATAATCAAATCCTTCAGCAAAAGAGAACATCTAGACAACTAATAATAAGTGCATGCTAACTTGATGAAAGGGAGAACAAAGATCCATTTGCAGTAGCTCTTCAACAAATACAAAATTGAGTATACTAACTTGATGGTCATCAAATAAAACGTCCTGAGTAGCAGAACATGTTGCGATCCTTGATATGCAATCACCGGCAGGAAGGTTCCAGAGTGATAAAGACCGTCCACTTCCACAAGCCTATTAAAGTCGGAGAAATCATGGTTTGTCATTATTGACGGAAGTTACCACTGCACAAACAAAAAAGTTAAGAATAGAAAGTCTTACCAGCCAGCTCTCACTTGCATCTAGAGCAATACAACTAATGTATGGAAAAGATCCTTTCAACTTCTTATCCTTCCCTTGATCAATTATTTGTACACACTTTCCACTTTTGCAATCTATGGTCAGAAAGTACATGCAGTTACACATATCAGAGGAGAAATAATAATAGTCTTAACAGCATGTCAGCCTGTCTATGCTGCAATTAAGTTATGAACTTATGACGCAAAAGGTTTACCCCATATTCGTGCTGTTCCATCTTCTGAACCAGTTATTATCTGAAAAAAAAATAAAAAAAATTGATAGTGTGTCAAATTATAAACTACTAAGCTAAGTGCATTGTTGGTATGTCAAACACAGTCCCAATAAAGAAAACCTATACAGTTTGCCAGTCACCTGATCATGAGAATTGCGTGCAACAATACAATGGAGATAGTCTGAATGCCCCTTGAAGACCATTTTAATTTCACTTTTCTCCTGGGAGTCATAATAAATCAGAATGGTAAGAATATATAAGAGGAGAAAACATAGGGGAAGGGTACGGAAGGGAAGAAATACAAAATAATAATAAATAAATAAATAAGAGATTGCATAGGCCATCCAAAAATTACTGAGACTATAAACATTTGTATAAAACATATACAGTTTGCCAGTCACCTTGAGCAGATACATACCACGTCCCAGCAATATGCACATGAATCACCAGCAGCAGCAAATATGGATCCACTCTGAATAAGGAGAGACAAACATGGACAAATCAGTTACTGGAGAATAACTCATAGGGTTATCAACCTATTAAATGTTTAAATGCTTAACACATGGCTGTGGCATTCCATACACGAGAAGTCAAGTCACTCTTACAATAACTGATTATGTTCTAGCAAGAAAATAAGTCCTTACACTTTGCAGTAGAGGCTAAGAAGCCCTTCAAAACAAATGCCATAAGGATGACACGGCCATGTCATTGTTGAACATAGAACTACTTGTTTCACAGAACCAACCTGGACTCAAGTGTTCAGAAATTTATAATAGAAGGACTACAAACCTGAGCATTAACAGCAATAGCATTGTTCTCTGGGATTGGAGAAAGTGCACCCCATGGACCTCTGAGATAAGAGGAAAAGATAAAAGCACAAACAAAGGCAGATAATTTCACCAAAGAAACTTGCAGGAATGCAGCCATAGATAATGAGCATTTGAACTTATAGTTACATACTAGGGTCAAGAAAAGCACATATGCAGTGGGTGTGTGCATTGGTACGTGCAAAAGTGAAATAATATACAGATGCCATAATGGTCGGAAATCAGTATTCTTATATATTGCTTAAAATATATGGCTTTCAAGTTTTAGAGTAACTAACCTATGTTGAGGATTCACCAAATCAAGTACTGGCATTGAATTGCCTCCTGCAAAAAATAATCAAAACGTTAGAGAGTTTTGCGTTTGATGTACCAACCAAGTACATACCAACAGCTCACAAGTACTGGCTTTGCTTCACCAAGTCAAGTACCAGTTCTAATAATCAGATCTTAGGAAAGAATGGAGGATAACTAGCTATAAAAGTTCAAAAAATAGATAAATATAACACCCTAAAAGTCAATTTACCTTGAGTATATTTGCTTGATTCAGAAATTTCTTCCAATTTCCATCCCCGAATTCGACCATCATCACCACAACTGCATAATATTTATGGAAATTGGAAGTATTGCAAGACATGCCAGAAACCACAGAAAGTTTAGAGGGACCAGGAAGAACATGTTAAATGAGACAATCATCTCCTTTTTACTAGCATAAAACATGTACGTGTCCATGTATCATAATGATTAACACTTCAATCACAGATATGTATTCTCATACAGCGCATTATAAAACCCATATGCATTTTAAAGTGCCTGGAATGCTTCAAACATTACTATAATTGAGATAAAGCTACTCTAGAAAACTAAGGCTAAAAGGCAATTCTTGCCAAAGATGTGCATTTAAAATTGGAGCTCAATAATACCAAAAATGTGAGCTTTGGCCATTACCTTAACAATATTGAATCTTCGCCATTGCCGTAAAAACTAACATCATAGGCAGGCCCCTCATGTCCTTTAACCCACCAATTAGGTTCTGCAAGTGGCGCTAACAACCTATGCCAAAATCACCATATTCATAATCAGCCGAAAAAAAAATTAAAAAAAAAAATTAAAAGCAATTACATGCATAAACTTACTTCCGAGCTCCGACATTTTCATAATTGAAACCCTAACACAGGAAAAAACAGACCAAAATTAATTTTTTTAAAAAAAGAAGTATATAACTTAAATCGAAAAGAAAAAGGAATAATAATGACGTTGCGATTAATGAATTAGGTAAATTTATTGGTCACCAGGAGGGAAGAGATGGAGTATGAGGAGACGGAGCCGTCGCTCGTCGCGGCAAAGAGGATGTCGGGCGTGGAGTTGGCATTCGGGTTCGGGGCGAAAGCGGTTCGGAATACGGTTCTGCATTGGGTTTCTCTCTCCCGTATAATGGACTCTTTGTAGGAGTCTTCGTCCCAGTCCCTACAGTCCATCACCATCACCGAGCTTCAGTGTGAAAGTGAGCGCAGCAAGCCAACCAGGTTCTTGATTGTTTCAACCAGAGCGATGACTGAGGTAGAGGTGACCAGGTTCCGGTTCTGGTTCGAACCGCCGATTCCAGTTCTGAAAATGGACAAACCGGAACCGTAAAGGCACGATTCGTTATGCGACGTCGTTCTCTTTCTGGAGTTTTTCTCTTTTTTTTTTTTTTTTTTTTTTTGGTTTGAGTAATACTAACTTTATTACAATGATATATATGTGCGTGGTTAAGCGTGTTTAACTTACATAATAAGCGGTCCTCTAACCTAATTCCTGATCACCAATGATCAAATTTGTAATTTGTATCTCTATGTTATTGAATACAAGTGCATAATAGTCAGATGATTTATTTTGAATGACAATGCTGTCATTTTTTTATATATAACATTGTTCAACTAAAAAAATTGGTCACTATTGACTGTAAATTAAGTTGTGGATGACCAAATAGTCATTAATCAATTATGAAAATGATTCAATAGCCATGAAACTAAAAGTGAGAAAAAAAAAAACTCTATTTTCAAATGTTATGAAACATAGTTTGAATGATGAGTCTCAAGTTATATGGAGTAAATTAAAAACTTACAACTTTCAACTTATAGATAATATTTGAAACGTAATTAAACATAACCTTTTAAGTTTTTAAGTTTCAACTATATTTTCAAATGGATTGATCAAAACCAATGTCTTTTTAGTAACGATTTTGGGTTCGTTTACCCAACTTAGTCACATTTTAAGCTAAAACTCATAGCTCCGCCCACCATTTAAAGACATCATTATCATTATATTGCGAAAGGATTTGTGGTTCTAATCCGCCCAATTATGCAGTTGTCTTTTGCATGAACGTTCTAGTGTGATGACTAAACCACACTTCACCAATTTGCCATCACACAATTTCCCTAATCAAAACTTGGGTAGCACTAAACTTTAAGTCATGTCATCATAATTGAAGTATCCTATCATTCAAGATCAGTTTTATGAAATAATTAAAACTACCCTTTAAGCAGCAAATTATATGGTACACTGTTATGTGAATCATAACAAAAAGTACATTTTTAATACTCTAAATGTATATTATTTTTATATAGTAAGCATATTATACAATATAATGTATACTCAGTACAAAAATAATGTACATCTCCTGAAGACAATGTACATTATTTTTGTATTGAATGTACAATATTTTACAATATACAAAATATGATCCACACAAAATATGTGTCATAAAAATATTCAAAATCAATCCGTCCGCCAAATGGCGGGATGAGACTGGCTAAGACGGGCACTAATTTAAAGTAGAATTAAAAATCTTAGAAAATAAATAAATATTAGAAATTTGTAATGCACATCCCTAAGCATACAAGATTTTAGCATTTACAAAATTCTTACAGTATTTGATACTAAAGACTAGCAAACATTGTAAAGCAGCCAGGATGTGTGATCCATGGGTGCTGGAAAACCTTAAACTTGTATCTTACATAGCAGCAAAGCAGAAAGAGAAACTTTAGTATACATGCTATAATCTAAGGGTAGATGCTCGATCTGTGTATACCAACAACAACAAACCTACCAAACTAATATTTATATATATATTCTTCTATCCACCCTAAATATTTACATGGTGGATACAAACTACACAACAAGAAAAACGTAATAAACATTTGTTGCAGCCCAGGCTGCATGTGTCTGCAGATTTTCTTCTCTGAAGTCAATTATTCTCAGTTCTGCACAAAAACATTAAGACAATTATTAGCTCAATTAGAGAAACCAGTCGAAGATTATAAGTTCTAATCCCAATTAAAATAGCCTGATGAAGGGAATAAAAAAAAAAATTAAAATTAAAAGAGTTCATACTGGTGTTCAGTATCCCCATTCAGGAGGCCGGGCAATCAAATCCTCGAGCTCGTGAACAATGGCGGATTGGTGTTTGGCGGTGTCTGCTTCCGTTTCGTTCTCGTAAATCATGTCGTCCTCCACAAGCTTCTCCCACAAGATGAAGTTCTCGGAGTTCATCTCCGGGCTGGCGGCCACCGGAGGAGTCTTGACCTTCTGATCCTGGACGGGGCTGCTGGAATCATCGGAAGAGAAGAGCGTCTGGATTTCTGAGTGAAGCATCACCAGCTCTTCCTGGCCCTTGAGATTCTTCGCATCCGCGGCGGCGGCATTGGTGATAGTCTCCGGCGCAACCAATCTCCTCTTCTTCGCAACCCTGGCGCCGCCGCCGTTCAGGGCGGTTCTCTGCCTCATCTTCTCGGTCAAGTGCTGGATAAAGAAGGGATTCCTGAACGCCTTTACCACGAAGAACACAATATACTTGTGCCTGGTCTCCGTGCTCTCCAGTCTCTCCCTAACCATGGCGAGATGATTGTCGGTGGTCTCCTGCTGCTGCTTCAGCCTCATGATCTCCATTTTCAACAGATTCTGATCGTTCCTGAGCTTGCAAAGCTCCGCCTGCGCCTCGTTGCAGGAATCCACCCACTTATTCCCCATTCCTGCCTCCTGGGGGTGATGATGATGATGATGATGCTTCCTCCTCTTGATGCTCTTCAGCAAATGCCTCTTCCCTTTCTGGAACCCTTCATTCGCAAATTCCCATCTATCTGAATCAATTTTCCTGAACCGCTAAACCAATTTAACAACAAAAAACCCCAATCACGTACAAAGAAATCCCAAATTGAACTGCCACAATAACCAGCTTAACCAGAACAAATTGATATCAGAGCATTGTTTGAAATGCAACATCATTGAGATTATTAGTTCAAATACAAAATTCGAGGTATCAAATTGCTTACATATGTGTTGAGCTGGCGAATGAAGCTGGAGAAGTTGTTGTGCTTGAAGTATTTAGGGAGGACATCAGTGGATAGCCTGTGAGGGTCCCAGACAACGAAGCTAGCCTTAGTAGGAGTCCATGATATAACAGGGTCAGTGTTGGGATCGTCCACCATGTCATACGTCTTCTTCAAGAACGGCGGCGGCCCGATCTCCCTCAGCCCTTCCAACGGCCGAGGAACCGAACCCATCATCTCTCCATCTCCGCCGCCGCCGATCACGCCGGGAATGCCAAAAGCGTCATCTTCAACCAGAAAAACCATCGGCTCTTCTTTCACGGCAATGGCTTCCCCATCGGATATCATATGCTGTACCTGTACTTCCATTTTTGGGCAATACAAACCGGACCCTTTACGTGGTTTCGGGTTTCTTGAAATGGGTTGGTGCGAAACCTGCAAGTTTCCTAGGCATCAACCTTGAAAGGAAAAGTCTCGGTTTCTAAGGAAAGGATATATATATATATATGTATGGTATTTGCAGGGGAGGGGAGTTTGGGGGTTTATGTATAGTAGTATAGTTACTGTGGTGGTTTCGTGGAGGGTGGTATTTAAGGTTGTGGGGGCGCAGGGAAAGATTGAGGGCGGTGATGGTGAAGCAGATGGCTAAATGAGGAAAAGAAATGTGGAATGGACCGTTTGCTTGAATGTTGCCATTTGTAGTTCTCATCCTCACACTTCATCCACTCCCTCAACTCTTGCCAAATCCCATTTTGACCCACACCATATTTCGAAGGAACAACATTAACCAAGTTAGTTAATATCAGGATCAAGTATTTATTATTACGTCAAAAATTATAGCTCTCTAGTGATTTATTGTTGAATTTAAGCTTTCACTCACTCTCGCCTAACAATTCTTCTTTCATGTACTTTCAACCTCACTTGATTGTGATATTACTTGTTAGATCAAATGCTTATTACTATGTCAAAAGTTATAATTCATATGTACAATTTTATTTCATTATTGTCGCTATATTTTGGAGAGATAAGGTGCAAGCCTCTATCCAACGATTTTTATTCAATTGGCCGAATTGACCCTTCACCCGTTATAAGCTATAAGCTCTTTTTAATAATATTTAAAAGAAATAATTAATTTTCAAAATAATCTTCCGACTATGATCTTTTCTTAAATTGATCTATTGACTTTTAATTTCTCCAAAGTAATCTTTCGATTTTTGAATTTTAGGTCAAAATGGTCCTCCGTTTGTTTTGGTGTTAAAATGAAAGATAAATCTAAACTTCCAGTTTTACTCTTCATTTTAATACCAACTTAACGCCAAAGCTAACAAATGATCATTTTAACTTCAAATTCAAAAGTCATACCATTTTAGAGAAATTAAAAATCGAAATGATCATAGTTAGAGAACCATTTTAAAAATTAACTCTAAAAAAAATAATTAACTTTTTAGTTTGAGCTAATTAATAAATAATAACCTAAACTAACTTACTCATTACAATCTTTTATTAACTAGATTATTTATATAAAAAAAATTATTCAATACACATGCTCATATAATACTTACTGAGTTTCTCTCAACATCACAAAAGGAATTGAAAGAGTTGAAGCAGCCGAAAAAGATACAGTTGAACATAAAATTGGTATTTATCCGGAGAATCTGTTTAGTGGACAGTGAAGCAGGTTGACATGTGTCCCGAGTTGAAGATTTGGGACGTCAAATCATCTGCAAAAGCTACGTGGATTGTGGGGGAGGCTTGTCGATCAAATATGGAAAAAGAGCTGCTGCTACGTGCCCACTGCCACCATCGCAGATAATAAGTGACAGGATAATAGGGCTAGCACCCGACCCGAATCATAAGTGTGCATCTGACCCGGCACCATAGTTGACCCGACACTGCATGGATGCTCCAATGGTTAGAATTCCAACAGGTGTCACATCTAATGTCATTGAAGCCACCATTGATGCCACCATTGATGAGAGAGAGTTAAAGCCTCAACGCCTCATTCATGACTCTTCATATTATTACCGTCATTCCCCAAGGATGTCTCTTCATGTTGTTACCGTTAGGACCTAGCATAAATAGAACTTCCCTCAGCTGAGCAGGACACACTGTACTTTCTATACTGAGACAAAGGCAATATAACTATTGTTACTCTCTTATTCGTTACTCTTATATTATATTTCCGGTAACATTATTACCGTCATTGGTGCTTTCATTGAGAGCCTGAGTCCAATACTCAAGCAAGCTACAACACAACTCTTTTTCTCTTTCAACAGCAAGCTTGAAAGAATGGCGTCCCGCAGCTCCCACGGTTCTCGCAACGTGAACAATGGCAACGCCTCAGGTGACCTCCGTGACCTACTCACCAACAATCGCGGAGGGAACCTCCGAGAACATCTCAACAACGGGAGGCCCGGGGACCTTCGAGATCAACTCAACAATGGAGGAGACCTTCGAGACCAACTCAACAATGGAGGAGACCTCCGAGACCAACCCCACAATGGAGGGGCGAACCAAGTCATGAACCTCCAGGAGACTGCCGATGTCATTCAGCAAGCAGTGACGGCGGCGCTAAATCAGGTGGCGGTGGGACTGCAAGGTCAAGTGCCCCCGCCGCGGCCCCAGGAAATAAGGGTGGAGACCCAAAGAAGTGCACCGGCCAGACGACAACCAGGCCCTTCCCAATCTGCACCAGAACGACTGGGACAAAGGGCGCCCGTGCGGCAAAGATTAGGATCACGGGCCGAGGGATCCTCTACCAGAGGTCCTCGCCAACACGAAAACAGAGAAGCCGAGAGATCACCCACAGAGGAGGTGGGCGAGTCTCGGGAGCCGACCCCACGCCAACACGTTGATGAGTCGGCCTTATGTCGACACTTGGAGGAGCGACGCGTCGAAGAGCCGGCTCCGCGACGGCACTCGGCGGGAAAGCGACGCGTTGATGAACTAGCTCCACGACGACACATGGAGGAGCGGCAGCCGGCCCCGCGCCGGCACCCTGACGAGTCGGCCCTAGTCGAGAGGCTGCAGAGAAGAATCGAGGAGTTAGCAAGAAGGGTGGAGGCACGGGAGCAGTCGCCGGAACCCGAGGTACGGATGACAGCACCATTCTCCCCAAGCATCATGGACGTACCTTTGCCGAGGGACTTTAGGTTGCCCGCTATCAAGGAGTACACAGGGGCCACTGATCCACGTGTCCACATGACGAGGTACAAGGCTGCTATGGTAATGATCGGGGCAGGGGACGCCATCATGTGCCGAGCGTTCTTGTCCACCCTGGATGGAGCGGCCCAAGACTGGTTCAACACCATCCCAGATGGGTCGATCCAAAACTTTGGGGAGTTGTCCAAGAGCTTCCTAACATACTTCTCCGGTAGCATACAGCGTAAGAAACCCTTCTCTCACCTCTGTGTAGTGAAGCAAGATAGAGGCGAGAGCCTAAAAAACTTCCTGATCAAATGGAAAAAGGAAGTCAATAATGTCTACGACTTCGACTCCAAGGCGGCGATCCCAATATTTATCCATGCCTTAAGATCAGGGTATTTCCACAAGCAGCTGAACGCCCACCACCCCCGTTCTTACGAAGATTTGATGAGGACGGCTAGCCGCTATGCCGAGGCAGAGGATGTCGACAGGAAAAAGAAAGATGAGGAGGACGACAGGAAAAACGGGAAACCTGGGAAAGCTGGTCCGCCCAGCCAGGCACCACTCTCGAACCACCCGACCGCAGGGAAGGGCCGAGACTACGAACGACCTCGCCTGGTCCCCTTGCATAATTTAACTCCTCTTACTCATCCCGTCAGTGTCATTCTAAAGCAAGCTGAGGAGATGGGAATGGTAGAATTCCCCGAGGAGTGCATGAAGGTCTCCCCAAAGGCAGACCAAACAAAGTATTGCAGGTTTCATAGGCATGCCGGACACGATACGGATGAGTGTCACGTTTTGAAGAGACAAATAGAAGACCTCATCCAGCAGGGCTACTTCCGACATTTCGTCAAGCGATCCAAGCAGCAGCAACAGCCGCAACACAATCCACCAAAAAATGTCTGGATGAATGAGGATGGCACCGAGCCGTCCACCTCAAACGCCAAAAAAAAGAGACCACGACCAAATATCTGAGCAGAGTGATAGCGAGAAAGAAACCGAGGTGGCGCCCAGACGACAAAAGAAGCACACCATGCACTTTATCTATGGTGGACCCGCAGGGGGCGACACGCCCGCAGAAAGAAAGAAGTGGAGCCGACATATATACGTGGGAGAAGTGGTGAGTCTTCCTAGAGAAAAGAAACAGAGACAGGAGGCCATCACCTTCTCTAATGATGACCTCCCAGAGGGCCCGCTACCCCATCGTGACGCCCTAGTGATTGAGATGGACGTCAACGATGTCATTATCCGCCGCATCTTAGTCGACACGGGAAGCTCAGTCAATGTGATGTATTACGATGCCTTCACCAAGTTAGGGATACCTAGGAACCAGCTCAAAGAAGTACGTACCCCACTCTCTGAATTTACGGGTGATTCAGTGGAGACGGAGGGGTCGGTGGCCTTACCAGTGGAAATAGGCACGAGCCCTAACATTCACAAACTTGACATGGAATTCATCGTGGTAAGACTCACTTGTGCGCACAACATCATTTTGGGGAGGCCGGCACTGGAGGACCTCAAGGCCATAGTGTCGGTGGAACACTTGTGTATGAAGTTCCCTACTCCGAATGGGATAGGGGTCGTCAGAGGAAACCAGCGAGCAGCCCGCAGTTGTTACGTAAAAGCATGCAAAAAGATTGGCGAAAAGAATCCACAAGTCCACACCATTTGCAAGGATGATCGATCGGGTACGGAACTCAGAAAATTTAATTAGATATTATCAGTAATACGATGTAGTCGTGGCCCGCCCAGACCTGTAAACAATATTTAGTAATCATGGTCCGCCCAGGTTACTTCTCTCTCAAATAAAAAGGTTTTCAAAACCACATTCAATCAACCACGGCCGCCACTACACTCTAAAAAAAAAAAAAAAAGGCCGAGGCGCGGCGCCTCGATAAAAAATAAAAAATAAATAAATAAATAAATAAATAAAAGGGGGCCGGGCAGCGTCTCAGCCACTCCAGGTCGAGGCGACGCCTCGGCCACTCGAAAAAAAAAAAAAAAAAAAAAGGGTCGAGGCGCACGCCTCGGCCAAGTGAAAAAAAAAAAAAAAAAAAAAAGGGTCGAGGCGACGCCTCAGCCACATGGCCGGGGCACACGCCTCGGCCAGATGGCTGAGGCCGCGCCTCAGCCCAAGGCCTAGGTGCACGCCTCGGCCTCCTGGTTGAGGCGGTGGTCGAGGCGACGCCTCGGCTAGATGGCCGAGGTAGCGCCTCGGCTGAGGCCGCGCCTCATCCCAAGGCCATGGCGCACGCCTCGGCCACTCGAAAAAAAAAAAAAAAAAAAAAAGGCCGAGGTGCACGTCTCGGCCTCCTGGTCGAGGCGACGTCTCGGCCACTCAAAAAAAAAAAAAAAAAAAAAAAAGGGGGTCGAGGTGAAAAAAAAAAAAAAAAAGGGTCGAGGTGACGCCTCAGCCACATGGCCGGGGCACATGCCTCGGCCAGATGGTCGAGGTGCACGCCTCGGCCTCCTGGTCGAGGCGACGCCTCGGCTAGATGGCCGAGGTAGCGCCTCAG